AACCCTTTGTTACAGATCTCGCATATGAATCTGTTTGTTGCCGTTAGTGTTTTTGGTGATAAAGCCATCACTTCTGCGTCAGGGTCTGCTCAAAAAAGTCAAGAAAAAAACATCCATTGAAAGTCAAGAAAAAAACACCACTGAAATATGACTTATTAAGTAACCAAATAGTTAGAAGCAAAACGTCTAAAAATATGAAGAAAGATTCGTTTTTAAATTAACTAAAAATTCCTTACCTGGATTGCCAGGTTGGTTTCTCTTTTTCTTTTGAGATGATTGTGGAGCACAAAACTCTTCGTGTTGCTGCTGATTTGGATTAATGGTGTAGTGAAAGGTGGAGCCACTAGTTTCAGTTCTGTTTCCTGAAGACACACTTGCTTGGTCTCCTGAAGCTGATGCTAGATTCGACATGTTTTCCTCCACTTGTTGTTGATGATGATGAAATAACATATCTTGGTTCATCATCATTTGAATAATAAGACCTTAAGAAGAACAAAAAAAAAATACAAACTTTTCTCAGATCTATCAGAATAGTGGAAAAACTAGCAAAGAGAAGATTCAAGCAGAAACATCGATGAAATTAGTGAAAGTGTGAAACCCATATAAAATTCTATAATATTTTGTCTAATTACAGCCCAAGTGACAACCTTTTACTTATGGGAAGATCTAATACAATAATAGTAAGACCCACAATCCAAGAGATGTGAAGAGAGAGTTTGTTTGAAAGCTGAACATAAGCAAATATATCATACTTGTTGTTCTTGTTCGTTTCAGACATGAACAAGAAGACCTTTAAGGTTTCCTTTTTACTAACAACACTCCAAACAAAAACATGAACAACCCAACAAGAGCCAAGAAGGAAGAAAATCCAAAATACCTAGAAGACGAAGGAGGGAGAGAGAAAGATTGTGGACGAGAGAACTCTATCTTTTCTCTTTGTGTGATATTTGAAGCTTATTATAAATTCAGAAAGTATAATAATCTGAACCCTACCGCTCATGAAAAGAAAAAAGGCAAGGAAAAAATAAAACTCTTCTGGCGGTACCATTTTGTCATTTTCTGTCTGATTATAAAATTACACTTAGAGCAACTGCATTCGTGTTATCCAAAAAAAATCCTTAGCATTATTTAATTAATTTTTTGTTTCTTCTGAAAAGTTAAGGATTTTTATCTAAATTTTGAGTTCAATGGTGTTATCCAATAAGAATCCTTAGGAATAAAATAATAATATTTTTTTTTAAAAAAAATTTTATTGCATGATTAAATATAAATTACAATAATTATTCAAAACATGATTAAATATAAAATACAATGATTATTTAAAACATGATTAAATATAAAAAGACAATAATTATTTAAAACATGATTAAATACGAAAATACAACTTTCTAGTATTCCTCACCAAATTTGTTCCAAATATTTTCAACTAAATCAGCTTTCAATTGTTCATGTATACGCCTATCCCGCAGACGAATCCGAATGTTAATTCTATTATCGACATTTGAAGGTGTGTCGGTACTATAGGACATGTCCACATGAGAACTTCTGCTTACGTCTCCTTCTTCAAATTCAGATATATCGTACTGAGTGTATCCATCTCGTTCATTTTCGACTATCATATTGTGCAGTATGATACATGCTCTCATGATCCTCCCTATCTTTGCCTTGTCCAATGAAAGAGCGGGGTTTTTCACAATCGCAAAGCGAGCTTGCAATACTCCAAAAGCCCGCTCCACATCTTTTCTAGTTGCTTCTTGAACTTTAGCAAATAACTCTGCTTTAGGACCTTGAGGGAGTGAGATAGATTGGATAAATGTTGACCATTTTGGATATATGCCATCTGTGAGGTAGTACGCCAAATCATACTGGTGTCCGTTGACCACGAATTGTACACTTGGAGCTCGACCATGTAAAATGTCATCAAAAACAGGTGACCGATCAAGGACATTAATATCATTTAAGGTACCTGGAGGACCAAAAAAGGCGTGCCATATCCAAAGATCTTGCGAAGCTACAGCCTCCAAGACAATTGTCGGCTTTCCTGATCCACGTGTGTACTGTCCTTTCCAAGCGGTTGGACAATTTTTCCACTCCCAATGCATACAGTCGATACTTCCGATCATCCCAGGAAATCCGCGTATCTCTCCAATATCGAGTAGTCGTCGAAGATCCTCTCCTGTCGGTTTTCGTAGATACTCATCTCCAAATAATTGTATTATTCCTCGAGTGAAATTATGTAAACACAAAAGTGCTGTGCTCTCACCAAGTCGGAGATACTCGTCCACCGTGTCAGCCGCAGAACCATAAGCAAGTAGACGAATTGCTGCCGTACATTTTTGTAGTGCAGAGAGACCAAACCTCCCAGTTGCATCTCTTCTTTGTTGAAAGAATGGAATGTTCTCTGAGAGGGCGTGAACAATACGCATGAATAATTCTTTGTTCATACGGAAACGGCGTCTGAACAACTGGGCCGGATATGTCGAATCTTCTTGGAAGTAGTCATTCCATAAACGGTTGTGTCCATCTTCGCGCTCGCGTTCTATATAAGCACGTTTCCCTTTTTTATTGTGGCGAGACTCCACTATGTTGTCGTACGTTTCATCCAAGATATCGTCGACAATGTCGTCTAACCTTTGTTCGAGTTCATCAGACGAAGATGATGACATTTTGTGTTTTCACTTGCTAATCCTTCATTGAAAGAATTATTATTGTTTTAGATAACCAATAATATAAGTTAATGAGAAATTTTTACAATTTCTAAATATTTTACAAATTTTAGATAATCAAATTCTATATTTTGAGAACAAACTTGCAAATCTAGATAACCGCTAATATAAGTTACTAACCAATTTCTACAATTTCTAAATATTTTACGAATTTGAGATAATGAAATTCTATATTTTGAGAACAAACTTGCTTTTAAATTTTAGATAATCAAATTTTACGATTTTTTTTTTACCAATGTGCTTGAACAAACTTTTACAATCTTCAAAATTGTGCTTCTCGGTTTAAAAACCAGCTACTAGATAACCTTAACAGAATTGTATGTTACAATGTGCTTGTACAAACCGACAAGTTACTAGATAACCTTAACAAGACAACCATTCTAGTTTATCGTACAACCTAAACAAGCCATCAAAACTACCTAAACTACCTTCAAAGTTGTGCTTCTCGGTTTAATATACGAACAAGCCATCAAAACTACCTAAACAAAACATCGAAGGTTTGAACAAAGAAATACAAGATTGAAGACAAGGTACCTGTTATATTAGGAACTGATTAATACAAGCAAAAGATCCAGTAGTGAGAGGCAACAAAGTGCAGGAGTTTTGTCAATAATCCGAGAAATACAAGAAACCGAAAGAGATACAATTTGAAAGGGAGAGGCAACAAAGCAAAAGAGATATGCTACCTAAAACAAGGCTTCACGCCAACTTATAGAAATACAGAAACAGAGAGTCCCGTGACTTGTTCACACGGCAGAGAGACCCGTGACTTCTCCACATGCAAACAAGAACCCGTGACTTCTCCACATGCAAACAAGAACCCGTGACTTGGGAAAACAGTTTGACAACTCCAAAATGCACCTGTATCAGTAAATAACACATGAGTTAGTAAATTATAATAGCAATGTGTAACAACTACATTACTACCTTCAACTCAACATATTACTCTATAACAACTCTGACATAAGTTTTAGTTTAAGACTCTCTTCCATGTCAGTGAGAGGGTCTTTTTTTGCAAGCATACGTTCCAAGAGTTTTTGGCTTGAGATTTTCTGTTTCATTTCAAACAGAATCTGTAACTTTGACAAGTCCTCGTCTTTGCCAGTCTTCTTCTTCTTACTTGCAGCTTTAGCTGCCTTGACCCCGACCGGTCTAGCCTCCGGTTCTCTCACCTCCTCTTCTCCATCGACCTCCTCACCATTTTTGCGCTTGTCCTTCACAGTGTGCTTAGGTAGTAATGTCGAGCACCATTTACTCTCGTATCTCAACTCCCTCCAGCAATGTTCAAGGCTGAACTTGACGGCGTTGTCATCGAAGAAGAAATCAAGGGCAGCTTGCATCACATCATTATCGCTTCGACCACTTCTCTGGTCCCTTATAGCTGCATCATAGCATCCAACAAACTTGCCGACTTGCTCGTTTATGCGAGCCCACCTTTGCTTACACTGACCAACTTCTCTTGGGACTGTTCCAACAAGGAGAGGAGAGGCGTTGTAGTAGTCCACAATCCTTTTCCAGAAAGCTACACCTTTCTGCTCATTGCTAACCACAGGATCCTTACTGGTGTTAAGCCAAGCACCAATAAGGATTATATCCTCTCTTGGAGACCACTTCTTCCTCTCCTTGGCACTAGACGAAGACTCAGCCTGAGATTGGCTACTCAACCAAACATGGTCCGGTGAGTCAAGGTCGATTGGAGACTGGCTATTGAGAAGATGAACAAAACCGGGGGTGGTATCCATGTTTACGGAATGCTCTGTGTCACTCTACTACTAACACAGAGCTTTAATAGATGATTTATTGGTAAAGAAACATTTAAAGGTAGGAAGGTTAGGAAGGTAGAAAGGTAGAAAGCAATTCATTACCATTTAACACCCAATCAAATCAGAGGGGTTAGGAAGGTGGAAAGCAATTCATTACCATTTAACACCCAATCAAATCAGAGGGGTTAGGAAGGTAGAAAGCAATGTGGCGTGAATGACTTTTAATTTTATTACATTTTCAGTTTGATTTTTAGTTATTGCCGAGTTTAAGTTATATATAGGTAATCAATTAGTATAACTTCCAAAACTACTTCACATAATTTTTTTATAACTTTGAATTTTTTTATAACTTTTAAAACTACTTCACATAATTTTGTATAACTTTTAAATACAGTGGCGAGGTCCGACCGTACCTTTAACTATACGTTTAAATAGTTACTCAAAGAAGAGAGGCTACGAAGTTGTTTGTGTGGTACCTTTAAATACAGTGGCGAGGTCCGACACTCCCGTCTCAAGCATTCAAAGCTGTTCCTGAACACACATTACGAGTACTACAAACAGTTAGCATTTTATAAATAATGGAAGAGTAAACATTTAAAAGCAAAAAGATAGAAACTGACCCGGTAGAAACATGACCAGCAGACCTATTAAGACTAGTACACAACCCAGTACACAGACAAGCAACTCAAAGCCGGATTTCTCAGACAATGTCTTCTCTAGCTTTAGTAGCTTCTGCGTACTCTCGTTACATTGGTCCTTAAGCTCCCTAAGTTGTGTATCAAAGCAACTCATCTCCTCAATTAAGGGAACTTCAAGCTTCAAGCTACTCTCAGCTTCATCCGCGTACAACTGATCTTCACCGGAGTAAAACTCAGCTTCTGCCGCGTATAAGTCAGCTTCTTCTTGAAGGAGCCACGTTAAACTAACATCTGATGAAGACGGCTGGCTATAACTGTAGTCTTGTCCCATGTTAACCTAAGACAAGAAAATGTTATCAAACATAACGTTATATAACAAGATAAAATCAATCATCAAATCATAATCAAGATTAAATCATAATCAAGAGAAGAAGTGAAATCACAGTGTCCCCAATGCTTTCTGAAACCCTTATCAAATTTAAAAATCCCCAAATAGATGAAAGAAGAAAATCCCCAAATTGATTAAAGTTCAAATCGATTGGAAACCGAAATCCAGAAATCAATTGATAAATAAAGCTTCTCGAAACCCTAATCAAAATGAAAAATCCCCAAATTGATGAAAACCAAAAATCCCCAAATCGAAACCCTAATCGATTGAAACCGAATTCCCAAAATCTATCCAAACATAAAGCTTTTGGAAACCCTAATCAAAATGAAAAATCCCCAAATTGATGAAAACCAAAAATCCCCAAATCGAAACCCTAATCGATTGAAACCGAATTCCCAAAATCTATCCAAACATAAAGCTTTTGGAAACCCTAATCAAAATAAATAACCCCCAAATAGATGGAAATCAACTTCGTGTTCAAACCCTAATCGTCTAAATCTGAAATCCCCAAATCGATTGGATTTCCAAACCCTAGCTTCAAAGCGACACATCCCCAAATCGAATCACAACATATACGAACCCTAAAATTGAGACGAGAGGCACCGATTTACCTTGATTATCGATGAGTACCAAAATCGCCTGGGAAATCGCCTACTCAAACGAGAGAGAGTTTGTTTTTCGCGGAAGAAAGGAAATGATTTTTTTTTTAACAACACGAGAAACACAAATCGAGCTGCAACCTACCACACTCTGCCACGTGTCCTAAGGATTCAGTCCTTCGAACCTCTTAACGACGTTACGGTCCTTCGTAAATGGGAGATTAAACATTTTCTTTTAATGCTATTTGTCTTGGTTTTGAGGCTAAGGATTTTTTTTTTTGACCGTTGCATGTGCTCTTACACAGAAACACAGAGCAGTCTGTTCTTTTTTTTTAAGTATTATTACTGTTTTATAAAGTTCTCCTTTTTCCATAATCTTTCTTTTTGTTTAGATAAAGAAAGGTGGGCCACATATTAATATCACAGTTGTGTGAAAAGCTTGCAGAAAGAGAGATTGTAGTTTTGTAATTTTGTAATTTTGTAATTTTGTACGTTACTCGAGAGAAGACGTGTTTGAATTCGCTTTAGTGAATGCACTCTTTTTCCCTATTAGTAATTGATTTTTCACTGTTTTGTTTCATTATGCAGTTTTCATAATTGAATTGTATTTATGGATCAGAATCTGTAATTTATTGTGTCTACTTTTGTGACAACATTTGTCAAATCTGATTTTATTCTAGATAAAGTATGTTTTGATGTGTGTGTTGTAGAGAAAGACTAACAAAATTTGCACTCACATGCATAAAATATCTTAAACCTGTTGATCAACATTTTTCTTTTCAAAAACGTCCATGCTTTAATCTGACTGATCTTTAAAACAAACAGTTAATTTTAAATATATAATAACTAGTAAAAAAACCAAAATAGTTACGGTACATTCGTAGCAAATTCGTAGCTATATGGAGAGTTTGCTACGAATTTACGTAGCTATTCATAGTAAGCTCTCCATATAGTTACGAATTTGCTACGAATGTACCGTAGCTATTTTGTTTTTTTTTACTAGTGAATATTTAAAAAACCTATCTTTTTATCTTCAACGTAAGTTTAGCTAGTTTCTTTTTCTTTGTCTTTTTTGTTTTTTTGCCAAAATTATTTTTCTTTGTCTAACTTCATAAACTAAGATTGATGGTATGATTCTGTAAACTTTTTTGATACCAACTAAATTTAACTTATAAAAAAAAAAGTGAAGTCTGATATTTGTGTCTTTTAGCAAGACAACTACCGCATATAAAATTAAACAAAGATAATAAAACCTCCAAAAGGATCATTAAAGAAAATAAAGTTTAAAAAATAAGAAAATAGTTTAAATCGACTTGAAATAAACCAATCAATGGAAATCCGCATCTATTTTCAACAAATTCGCATAATTCATCTCAAATATCACTATAGCTTTTATATACCTCAAACTTCAAACTTTTTTTTTCCAACCCACCAAAAAACCATACTTTTGTTTACAAGTGAAAAAAAAAACTCTTTTTGATTTGGGTTCTTGCGGCTTTTCATGTTAAAGAAAAAAGAATTCAATTTAATGGATTACTCATGGTTCAGTGAACGAAAACCAATTATTCAGTGCTACACGCCCTAACCTACTTTATTTTTCACATCGAGCTATGGACACAAATCATTGACATTTTTGCATTTTGAAAATTATAGATTATAATTCATGCGTAGACCATGGTCGGTCCTAGAGTAGACACCACTACACTCCTTATCTTATCTACATTTAAATAAAAGAATACGGATCAAAACTTGTAATCATTAATGCTCTTATGGTGTCATTATACGAACTTCTTTGTCAAATACCATTTACGAGTTTGATCCCCATATTTTATACATGGTTTAGTTATTAATGTCACATTGAGCTATATATGAAAAAATGGAATAAAAATCAAAACATTTTGTAGATTGGACTATATTACGAATATTAACATATCCTAAACAAAATAGACTTTAAATAAAATATTTCCATATAATGTAATCTTCTTTTCTAGATAGGACTTTGAATCTTATAATTGTATATAAAAAGATCTTGAGGTTATGAATCAATGACACACAAATTTATTCGATTATATAACTTCTTATGGTATGAGAGTCGGCACAACACGAAAAACAATTATTTTTACGACATTTTTTCCGAACAATCCAATCTTTTGAATTCGTATCTCTCGCACTTTGATTACGACTCTTCGAACTCGACTCATGAACCAAACTGACTCTTCGATCTCCTTGACACACTCGATCACGACAGGAACTTTTACAATGACCCAACAAACGATATCTCTTTATGATTTATCTGCTAGTGATAACTCTGGAGCGGTTTTCTCTCAGTTGTTGTTCAATAAGCGAAACTACGATGAATGGACACAAAATCTACGTGTTAATTTAAGTGCACGGAAGATTTTTTCTTTTATCGACGAAACCATACCAAAACCGACTACTGACTCTACAGATTATAGAGATTGGATGGGAAATAACCATCTCCTTGTTATATGGATCAAATTAACCGTAGAACTGAAGCTACGTTCCAACATCTCTCATAAAGAAGAAGCTAAAGATTTATAGGATCATATCAAACGACAGTTTGCACTTAAAAATGGAGCCCGTTATCAACAACTTTGTACTCTTTAACAAATTGTTGCCAGAAGACTATTTTGGACGACTAACTAAAATTTAGGATTCAGTGGCTGAAGTTTGAAAGTTAAAATATATAAGTCTCAAAGTGAAAGGTCTAATAGCTTTGGATTTATTATTGTTTTTAAAACTATGTAAGTGTCGTGCTGAGGGAAGAAGAAACGCAGCGTTTTGGTAATAGGCGATTTTTAAGGCGATCGAGGCGATTACGGTTTTCGATGGTTTCGGCGACTTCGCCGGGCTCATCTGGGTCGGTTCCGGTTACGAAAATTGATCAGGAGGTTACGGAGATGACTAAGGAAGGTTCGATGGGTTCGCTAGAGGTGAAGGGAGGTCTGTGCGGAGGAAAGGAAGATACGCGGATTTTGACGGGGGGAAAGGATGATCTGATGGTTTCGAAGGAGGTGAACGGAGGTCTGTTGGTATCGAAGGAGGCGAAGGGAGGTTTGATGGCTTCGATGGAGGGTATTAAGGATGATCGGAAGGTTGTGGAGGTGGGTGATGGTATGATTAAGGGTGGGGTGGTTCTGGATGGAGTAGATTCGAAAAAGGAGACGATTCCAAATTGGGCTTCAAAGGCGTCGGATAAGAGAGCTTTGAAGAAGTACGATGTGGAGATTGTTTCAAAAGATGGGAAGAACAAAGTGGAGATTCCAGAAACGCTTCTCTCGGAGGCAACTCCGTTGTGGGAGGAGTTCGTTGTTGGGAAATTCTTGGATCTGGCTCCTCATATTGCCAAGGTACATATGGTGGTTAATAAGATTTGGAAGTATGGTGAGGAGAACTCTAAAGTGGAAGTGTATGATGTTGATGCAAAGACTATGAGATTTAAGATCACTAATATGAAGGCTAGGGAGAAGGTTATCAAACGTGGAATGTGGAATATCGTAGGTGTGCCTATGGTAGTGGAAAAATGGACACCAAAAGCTGAAGATGAGACACCAGAGGAGAAATCTATTCCAATGTGGGTGCATTTGCGTAAGATTCCTCTTCACACCTTCTCTTGGGAAGCTCTAAGTTTCATGACAAGTGCTGTAGGTTTTCCGATGCATCTTCATCAAGATACGATATCGTGTTCTGATTTTGATGAAGCGAAAATATTTGTTAAAGTGGATGTGACGAAGAACTTACCTAAGGAGATTGATTTTTCTTTTGGGGGAAAGGAGTTCACTGCTGAATTTTATTACCCATGGTTACCTTCTCGATGTGCTAAGTGTGACAAATGGGGACACAAGGAAGAGAGTTGTAAAATGAAGAAGAAAGTTGTGCAGGCCAAGGAGAAGGATAAAGAGACAACTGGTGGTATTGGGAAATTAGATAAGAGTGCTATCAATAAAAAAGATGTGGAGATGGGTACTGAGAAAGAGGTTACCAATCTTGCTTCTTCTTCGGGGAAGGATGAGGTTGTTGAGGATAGTCAAAGGAAGGAAGCAGATTGGTCGCAAGTTGCGGCTGATAAAGTAGGAAGAGCACATACTCCTGTGCGACATACCGATGAAGTTCTTATATCAGCTTCTAAGTACTCATTACTGTCAG